ACGAAAAAACCTTGAATTTTAACCTGGGGCAGGGTAGTTTTTAGTTAATCTGACTGAGTGTTCAAAATTCATAAGGAAGATGTTTTTTGAAGAGAAACTACGAGGGCTATCCTTCATGTATAATGAATCTAGAGGATGTGGAACCCCAATGTTATCCCTCATTCATCAAGAAACGAGGCAATCACAATCCTCTCAACAAGCAAAGACAAGCTAATGTCACACATTTTGTTCAAAAAGTCAAAAATCAAGAAAAAGAAAAGCCTGCTAAGTCAAAAAAAAATGAAAACGTCTGACTTAGGCAAAATTAAGGCATCCCGCTGGACTATCAATTCAAAAAAATTAGTTCAGGCAAAAATTAGGGAAAATAAAAATTGCAAAGAAAGGACTACAAAGAAAAGTCCTCAACAAAGAACAAATTGGTGACTACAAACACGAAGACATGAGGGCGGTTTCTACTCCGAAAACCTCGTCGTTTCCTTGACCGTCACAAAATCCTTTTGAGAGATGAACACTCATGTCGAATTAACTGAACATAGGGTTGGAGAACATCATGAAGAACGGGTGGGCACCAAATATTTTGAGCCTTAAAATCTTTTTTTCTAAAAAAACCATGAACCAGACCACGTTACAACCTTCAAAAGTCCTAATTGAAGCAAGATTATTTTGAAAGCATACTTCAATGAGATAGTGTTCCTGACTCCCATGAATGTTCTAAATAGTTATGTTGGTATCATATGTTTTTCCTATACAAAAATAAATGGTGCTTTAACTCGCAAAATTTGTGCGATATCTTTCAAAATCTTCAAGACTTACATAACTGTTCCATTAGAATTTTCATTCTCATTGTAAACTTTTTCTAACTGCAAAACATTCGTTTGATATCAAGGAAGCTCACATAAGCACCAGTGATGAGTTTATTCTTTTAAGGCCTGAAACTATGTTGAGTAATTGACGGATCACGTCAAAAAAAATCATATCCAGGGGCATGTCACCTGAAGACCTTAAGCACGAACATGTTGCTTCTCCAAATTAATACTTTCCCAACTTGTTTACTCTTTTGGGGCAAAATTTGAAGACTTTGTTGTGCCAACTACAGTCAATCCGGGGCAATCACGTCGAGATTTGATGAATTCCTCTAAGAGTTTGAAGACACCAGAGCATGGTGAATGCCAGGTCTTTTGTAAAATCCTCTTGAGACGATTTCTCCTCATCAACCAGATAGCTTTGGGGCATGTTAGAAGTGAAGCTATTCGCAATAATTGTCGTGCATCACGCAGCTTACCAGCAATAGACTTGGGGCATCCAAAATTCGTCCCAGGGGCAATCCAGATTTGTCAAGATATGTGATATGTTTTGCACACATCATCAGAGGGTGGTTTTCCAGTATCTCCAGCTAAGCAAGACTTTTTTTTCCAGCTGAAGCATTGTTCGTGTTGTTATCCTTTCAACGAATTATTGACATTAGAAGATTAGACTTTGGGTTTTCTACCGAAAAATATATTCCTCTCCAAAGAGATTTAAGCCTTGTAAAAGGACTTTGCTCCAATGATGGCCTGTGTTTTATCTCCAGTAACGTTCCCATCCTGTTGAGATTAGCCGAGTGTCGAGTTGTACTGTGATGTCTTATCATTTTCTGTCCATCTCCCCTGTCTGTTTTGTCCGCATATACCTGACATTCATTTATTCATTCACACTGGCATCATGCACGCACAGTTGTATTTGTTGATGTCATTGAGTTCGTATACCTTGGTTGTGTCTATTCAAATGATGTATTTGATCTTTCCAAGTAGAGTGCCAACTTAAGCAGAAAGTGCGTCTTCTTTCTAATTCCCCACTAAGTTAACTCTCGTGGAAGGATCTTGCTTTAGCTTTCCTCTTCCATCTCTGGATAGGATAAATCCCCATTTGAGTTGTTTCCTCATTGGGTGGAGTCTTGTTTGACTATTTTCTCTCCAGTTTATTCCTGGATTGAGCTTTGTCTCTTGTGAACGATACCCTGTGGATATCTCTAGGCTGTAAAACCTAGATGGAAAGTGCATTTATTTTGCAATATAAATACTTGGTCTCCTCAAGAAGGATTTATTCATGGTTCCCCATTGAAGATGAACTTTATTCCCCAGCAGTGTTATCATAACATTCTTCTGGAATATCGACATGACAACAAGCGACTGACTCTTTATTTGAGCAGTTTGATTATTTCTGATTTCTCTACGACAAATGGCGGTCTCTTCATGAGCAGTTTGTCCATCCTCGATGAAATTATTGATTCTCACCTCCAGCAATATCTTCATGATATTTTATGGGTATCTTTGAGAAAACAGCAAGCGGCAGTCTCTTCATGGACAACTTGTATGTTATCAACACTTTTTGAAAACGGCAAGTGGCGGTCTCTTCATGAGCAACTTGTACGGAAAACGGTAAGTGGCAGCTTCTTCATGAGCAGCTTGTACGTTAGTATTTTTGGAAGACAACAAGTGGCAGCTTATCTATTTGAGCAACTTGCGTGTTATTGTTCCCTTGAAAACAGCAAGTGGCAGCTTCTTTATGAGCAGCTTATGGATTAACGGCAAGTGGCAGCTTCTTTATGAGCAGCTTGTGTGCTTTAATATTCTCTGAAGACAGCAAGTGGCAGCTTCTTTATGAGCAGCTTGTGGGTTTTTGGCAACAAGTGGCGGACTCTTCATGAGCAGCTTGTGTGCTTTAATATTCTTTGAAGACAGCAAGTGGCTGTCTCTTCATGAGCAGCTTGTATGTTATTGATACCTTTGAAAACAACAAGCGGCGGTCTCTTCATGAGCAACTTGTATGTTATTAATATCTTTGAGAAACAGCAAGCGATAGTCTCTTCATGAGCAACTTGTATGTTATTGATACCTTTTAAAACAACAAGCGGCGGTCTCTTCATGAGCAACTTGTATGTTATTAATATCTTTGAGAAACAGCAAGCGACAGTCTCTTCATGAGCAACTTGTTTGTTATTGTCACCTTTGAAAACAACAAGCGGCGGTCTCTTCATGAGCAACTTGTGTGTTATTGGTAATTTTGAAAAGAAACAACAAGCGGCGGTCTCTTTATGAACAACTTGTATGTTATTGACACCTTTGAAAGGAAGCAAGTGGCGGCCTCTTTACTTGAGCAGCTTGTGTATCCCCAACAATAATGTCTACTCAGCAAATGGCATCCCTTTCGGAAAAGTCCCGTGGGGAAGTTTGTTATTTTATCCTTTTCAAGCGATGTCTTGGTTAAAGAAGAAATGTGTTACCGTTCTTGGTAAAATTCAGAAATCAGAGATGTTTATCTCCAGCCACAGTGCTGATGTCAATCATTTTGTTTTCCAGCCACAGTGCTGATGTCAATCATTTTGTTTTCCAGCCACAGTGCTGATGTCAATCATTTTGTTTTCCATCCACAGTGCTGATGTCAATCTTTTTCCAGTCTCAGTACTGATGTCCATCATTTCCTTTTCCAGTCACAGTACTGATGTCAATCATTACCTTTTCCAGTCACAGTGTTGATGTAAATCATTTCTTTTTCCAGTCTTCGTACTGATGTAAATCATTTCTTTTCCAGTCTCAACACTGATGTAAATCATTCAAGAGTCTCTCATTTGAAGTCCATGACTTTGTTTCCCCAGTGGAGTTACAACCTCTTCCTCTGTGGGATTACTGTATAATGTGCTTGGTTTCTCCAGCATAGTCTGTATCATATGGCGTCATTCCCCATAAAATTCAAAACATCACATTCATATCATATCGTAAACATAATCGCGGTATCTTAAGGCCAAAAATTGTGTATTCTATATTTAAGTCCCTTCCATCTCGTCGAAATGAAGATCCCAATCTTCATATCTCCAGATAGAAGAAACTTAAATAGGGGCAGCTGTTGTACCCCAATTTTTGACCTAAGATCCCATTTTTATTTTTGCATTTTTAAAGATAAGTCAAGGCCATGAAATACAATCGGTTTTAACGTTTCACCTTTGAGCTTTGACTATGCGAAGATTGTCAAGTGTTTTGAACATTTTTAGCATATGTATCACTAATTTCTAATCGCATACAAAGGTGTATGTTCATGTTCTTTTGTGTCATGTGCAGAGACAGGTCTGAATCAAGAGCATCAGGTGTCGCGCCTCAATTAAGGTTTTGAGTCTCCCAAGCCAGAAGTACGGTTGATTGTGGATTCTCGAAGACTGATTCATCAAGGCACACCGTTGCACCCTTAATTTCGCCCCTAATTTTTTCAGTCGCACTTTCATACCATTTTGTCATTTGGTCACAATCATTAGTAAATATCTTCATTCATCATATTTTGCATCATTAGTCGTATTTGAGTTGACCAGAAAAGTCAGTTTAAATCAAAGTTTGCATCGTCTTTTAGTTAAAAAATACCTGACATTTCACTTCATGCATTTTTATCTCTTTACTCGTTTCTTGCATTGCTCCAAGTTGTTTATATGTTGATAATAAAAATATTTTGGTTTTATAGACAAACTGTTAAAAGCGATTCAACAATGTACGGAAAATTAGCGAGAAAAATATTTCAAGTTTTCACCTTTTACCGATCATTTTATGAATCTGCGCTTCGCGTAGATTATGACGGTATGCTCGCTTTATTTTTTCGGTACAGTTCGAAGTCTCGTTTTAACCTTAAACGTCTGTTTAGTCTGATATTTTTATTATTATTTTATTTTTGATTTTTGACTTCTTGAATATTTTTTTCTTTAATCTTCGTGACATGTAGTTTATTTTAATGTGTTCATTTTATTTTATCGGATAAATTTTCGTCCATTTTTTATCGTTTTCGGTCATTTTGTGTCTTTATTTTTAATTCAGAAAAAATTCAAAAAAATCATTTTAAATTGAGTTATTTTTTATACTTTCAAGTTTTATTTTATTTTTGTCATTCAGGGGCTTTTTGGTCATAAAAATTATTTGTTAAACTATGCTTTATTTTGATTGGTTGTTAGAGGGAGTGATGGATCGATCCAGAAAAATAGCAATGAATTGCAAAACAGAAGTGAAATTTTCCTCTTGATCTGTCTATATAAACACTTCTTTCTTTTCTTTGTAAAAGGGGGACAACACAATAATAAACTCTTTCTTTCTCTCAAAAACCTCACTCTCATCTCCCTCTCACAACTCCTTCCACGCCATACCCTTCCACCTCCTTTGATTATCCCACCATCCTCAACATCACCTTCTGTCAAACAAAAAAGCGCACAGCATCACACAAACTCCCATTCAATTCACCTACACAAAAACAAAACCCCTTCAATCCTATATTCAACTCTTTCATTTTCCTATGTGCAAAACCAAAATGGCCATTAACGCTTCTGCCCCAAAACCCACCCCACGTTCACAACAACAAAACTCCAAATAACTTTCATAACAACCCATACTCCCTCATCTTTAATCTTCACCCTCTTCTTCACTTTCCTCCGTAGACCAAGGGTGAACCCCCTGGAAATTAGTCTCTCCCCCACCGGAATTACCTTCATCGTCGCCATAACCATTATCTTCCTCGCGCCAAACTCCATCCGTCTCCCGTCAAATACGATAACCTTCGCCGTTATCCTTCATCCTCCAATTCATCCCAATTTTTGCTCCAACTCCCACCGGTGACCTCCGTCCACGCCCACGTCCTCAAATCAGGACTCCACTCCGACCGCTTCGTCGGCAATAGCCACTATTCTCATCATCTAGCGTGTACTGCATCATCACTTTTCCATCTCAACCGATCCACAATACATCATCATCGCCTTCATCCAATATCACAGCCTCTTCCCTTCCGCGAAGTTCTCCGCAAACCTCCAGATCCCTCAGTTATCAAACAACCGCACATCAAACATCATGACCTCCGTCAACAACCAGCGGTCATCCATCGGAAACAGCATTACTCCCTCTGCCTCTCATCCAAACGCAACTTCATCTCTCTCATTCGCCATTCCTCTCTCGACTCTTCTATCCACCATGGCCGCTGTGCTCTGTTCCCTCCACGCAACCCACAGCTTCTGCACCGTCCGATTTGTCAACACAACTCAACTTGGTCTTGTTTATTAATTGTTTGGATAGTAGATCAAGACATTACGAAAGGAGGCTGATAAGATGCTTAAAGAGCAAAGGTATGCCACACCTCCATTAAGTTTGAAAAATAGGTAGTTTCCATCAGAATCATTTATTTTGTTATATTTCTTTTATGTTAACTTATTATGATTTTTTGTTACAGTCACAAATTTCCTGAACGAATATCTAATTATCTAGATTTATTTATATGCTTGCATTTTAATTCTTGATGGTTCCTGCAGAAAAGTTATGCCAAAATGGAAAAGAAAATTTAACTATTGTTAGAAAGTCTCTCCTATTTAGGGATAATATAATCTATTTAGCACCGTATCAGTTTTGTCTTGATATTTGTCATATAATTAGTTTCCTTAGTTTTTGTTTATATGTAGTTTCTAGTAACACGGTCAATATTTGCCCATCTAAAAATGGTACTAAAGCCATCCACCCGGGTCTTCTTCCATTTGTGTTAAACTGAATATTGAAGATGTTAATTTGAAGTCATCTGTGCTATTTTTTTTAACGATGGAGTTATGCTTGCATTGTTGCGATTGGTGCTAAAATTGAATGGAAATATTGATATCAATTTGGTGTTATGATAAGGTGTGTGTTGAATTGGATTTTATGGTTTGTCTAAGTATTTGTTCGAAATTATTGATGTCAATTTTGGTTGTTGAATCTAGCTTTGAATTTTAAGGATGACATTGTCTTCTAACTTAAGTTGATTCAAGTATTGAAAATGATATTGAAATTGGATTAAATTGTTGAAGTTGAATTTGAAACTTTTCTTTGATTTTGGAGCACCGACAATATTGTCGAATTGCTGCCCGGATTTATCCTTGTTGAAACTTGCACTCCAAACTTATTTTCATCACTTTTTGTACTTAATGTAATTTTGGCATGAGTTGATTAATTTGGAATTGTCGGTGTTGATGTTGTTTTATTGTTTAAATTATTTCAAAATTTGTTTTTGATGATGTTTCAAATTGAATTCAATTCACAAAGTTTGTTGGTTTAATATTAGTGTTTGTACATAAGTTTTGAATCACTTGAAAATTGATTTTCATGAGCTTTTTGTGCATGATTTGTTGTTGTCCAACTTTTGATAATGCCGATTTTTTTTTGTGTTTACATTGAATAATATCATGAATTCTTGATTTTGGTTTGTGTAAATATTCATTTATTCATAGGCATCATACAAGTTCATTTTGATTTTTATACTTTGTGATTACTAACATAAATTCAAATCTTGTTACAATTTCGTTTCATTTTAATTTGTATACCGCTTATGCTACTAACAAGTTTGCTTACTGTGAAGGTTTTCGAGAACAGTTTCAAGCGTTCGTTCCCGCGTAGCGCATTTATAATTTTTCTTTATTCCCTTTTTACCTTACTATTTTGATTTAATATTTGGTACTGTAAATATATACTTGTACATAATATTTTGACTGTATATTTTACTTGTAAATAAATTCAGGTTTTGAAAATATTATTTTCATCGCATTGTGATTTTATTTCCAATTCCAACTAACTTCTGAAAATTGTGCGGACGCACATAAGTTTCCCGTGTTGTTAGATTTGTTGTATATCTCTTGTGATGCAGGGATTCTTATCTGATGTCGTGAGCTTTATCCATCGCCTTTGCGCTTTATCTGATGCTTGGAGTATTATCTCACATTAGGTTTTTTGATGATGCTGTCGACTTGTGATTTATTTTCACCTAAGGTTTGATATACTCTTAGCTTATTTATCCGTCTATGGTTTTAACTCCAAGGAAAAGATTTGAATCTTGTTGACTTCACGTCATCAAATACATCTCATTCGATCGTGCGAATATCCTTTTTTTTTCATTTTTTGTTTGTTTTCTATTTTGCTAAACTCAAGATAATTTTCCCAAAAGACTTCATTTTCAAACTCACACCTTTTTAAGTCAAAACTTCGACACTAGGTCGTCGCATCTTCAAAATCTCGCCAACACCTATTTTTAGCCAAACGAATCACTTTTAATCAAACAAACAATTTTAACCAAAAACAGATATTTCAAAAGGTTCCTGCGGAGTACCGCAGATGCATTGGGTGCTAATACCTTCCCATTGTATAACCAACCCCCGAACTTTAGATCTCTTTCAAAAATGCATCGTATTTTCATTACTTTTAAGTATTATTTTACATTGCATATTTTAGGGTTTTATTTCGCTCTTTTCCCTTTTCCCTTGGAAATAATAAAGCGTGGTGGCGACTCTTGCTTTTGTGAGTCAAGTTAATTAATAGCTTGATCTCCGATTTTCACCGCTACACTCTGAACATGGAATCTCAACCTCCAATTCTTGCGCCTTTTCTTTAAAATCTTGGCATATTTGTGTTTATCATTCAATTTAGAACAATTTGGCATTATTCAATTTTGTTTTTGGAACCTCTAACATAATACCCGAACCTAGGGTTCCAAGCTTTGTTTTTTAGGCGTTTCTGGTACAGGTACAATCAAGGCCAATCATGGCTATATTCATGCTCAGGGAAGAGGGACGATCACATTGATACCCTTAGTGTGCGTTTATATGACCTGGAAGAGATTTTAGGAGTGAGCCACGAAACCTCCTGCGGATAAAAATCCACAGGTAATAAAACCAGAAATCTGTGAGGAAGAAGACCACACGTCGCCCCCCCATTGGCCCGTTTGAATTACGCGCTTTTATTTTTATTTTTGCAAGCATATTCATTTATTTCATATTTTTTTTTCTTCTTATCATAATAACAAATAAAGCAGGATGGTTGAGTGGCTGGGGCGTGAGCTTGTGAACATTGGGACCTGGGTTCGAATCCCAGGTCCCCCAAATATTTGTTACAATTTTTCCTTATGTACTCATGTGCAGCTTTCAAAAGGGAGTCCATCATACACCCTTCTCCAGATGCTGGCCAAGTGGCTCCGGGCCAAGATCCAGTGGTCACAAGATGATGTCCACCATACTCCACAGTCAACGCACACGCAGGACATCTGAAAAGTCAACAAGGCTGAAACGCCTTTGGGCCCGGAAATTGCCAAGCATACACCCTCTTTGGGCCCAGACCCCTTGGGTTTGCCTTTTTATTTTCTTTCATTTATATTTTTTTACTTGATTTATTTTCTTAATTTAATTAGCTACTAACTAAAATAATTAACATTTTTCATAATAAAATCAGAAAACATAAAATATAATATTTTTATTTATTAAATTTAGTTAGTCTATTTTTGTAAATAAATATTAATATAATTTGTTAGTTTTAATTAGGCATAATTTTAATAATTTTTGCAGTAAATAAAAATTGGTGTAGAATTAGGTTTTAAAATATTTAATCATTTTATTTTTTATTTCCTTGAACATTCAAAAACCCAAAAATATTTCTCTTTGTAATTAATTAATTAATTAGCCTAGGTTTAATTTAATTAAATGCAAGATAACAAAAAAAACCTCTTTCTTTAATAAAAAGGGTCAAAACCCTAAAAACACTCCGATTCAATTTTTCTCGCGTATGATTTATTTGATTCGTATTTTTATCCATATAAGTGTATCTGCTCCGAGGATGTGATAGCTTTAACTTAGGGCCTTTTTTACCGCTTTTATTTAATTTCCCGCAATTTACTTTTTCAAGGGTTTGTTTTTGGCGATGTAAATACCCGACGCCTTGTAATAGCTTAGTTTTCTTTTCCGATACCATTAACTGCTAGATGTATGCTAACTAGGCTATGTATGACAAGATCTCTCTTAAATTAAAATCAATCGTAGCTCACCATAACATGTACAAAGATAACATAACTGAAACCTGACACACTCGCACATGCCACTCTTAGGGTACGCCTCACTTGGTTGCCTCGACGTGGTCATTGAGTATAGGGTGTTTTAGAGGTCGCCCTCCTGTCTAAAGATCAAAGTTGCCTCGAAACAGTTGCCTCGATAAAAAATGATCTAAGGCATTAGGGTTACTGCTAAGGCGTCCTACCATTGCTTTAGTGACCACATGTCCCTAAAATCGAATTGACCCGAAAACTCCAACGACGGTGCTACCTACTTCTCAATAGTGGGATAGTATTGTCTAAAGGACATTTACACAGCTTAATTTCTTTTGAGTAGGTAGAGGTTCTCGGGTACTTGCTCTTTCAAAACAAAACAACTTTTTCGCACTTACACTTTTCAAACAAAGTTTTCAAACAACACTTCATACACTCTTGAGGACAGATACAAGAGTTAAATCGAAGTTTCCAAACAAAACTTTTTTCAAAACCCACAAACACAAGAAAAGCAATACATTTTGAAAAACATAGTGAGCAAGTACCTAAGAGCCATGGATAACCACGGATAGAAAGGGTGCTAACACCTTCCCTTTCTATAATCTACCTCCCGAACCCGAGAAACATCTCGAAAAGGAATTTTGCTGTGCTTTTGTCCTTTCCTTGTTGGAGAAAATAAAAGACTGTGGCGACTCTTGCTTACCGCGACATTTTTCGAAATGCAAACGCGAACCAGCATTCCAAAACAGTCAGTTCTATTACCACCGATCACAGAACTGGCGACTCTTCTGGGGACTATAATAAGTGAGGTGTACCTTAGGATTAGATCACTTGTGTTTTCAATTGTATGCTTTGTATGCTTTAAATTTTGTGGGCTTGTATCGGAGTTTTATAGATCCTAACCCGGATCTGGGGGTACCCTTTTTAGGTAAGTAGAAATAAACTGTGAGGGATCTGTCCGGCGTAGACCGACACGGATGAAGCAGTAGCTACATTAGTGTGACACCTTGGTCTGTACCGATATCCCTTGTGTTGGAACAAGGCGAATATGGGTCTTCTGAGGAGTCATTAAGCACCAACTGACCTTAGAACCTTAAATTGACCAACCTGGCCATAGAACAGTAGCAGTATGCTACACTCATTGAGACTAAACTCTCGCGATGGTTCCGGCCGTAAGAAAAGGTTGCCAAACTGGAATTATGACCGATTGAGGGTAGTCAGTGATATTGAGATCCTCTAGAACCTGGTTACTATTTTTAGGACAGGTCTTAACCCATTGGAACTGAAAGAGGGTAGTACTTAAGCTTCATGCCAGCCTGAAATCTAAGGTCTCTTTTGTGTGACTTGTGTGCCTTCAAATCTGAACTACTTGCACATTCTTATTATCTGACAACATGAGTTCCTTGCAGGTTTTGTTTACAGTCCTTATCCAATAATTTGGACTCATTGCAGGGTTTACTTACATCACTCCACGCATAGCATACACATCATAACATCATACCATAGCATTTCCTTAACCATTTCAAGGATCTCAAGGGTTTGTAATGCAGGTCATGATGAACTAAATGTCCAGCAAGGGGAAAAGGGGATCTATTTCCTCTAGCCAAGGTTGTCTAGGAATCCAAGCACGATAACTTGAGTCAGGGGCTATGACCCACTTGATATGGTGAGCTTGACTCGGGAAGAAGGACTCTAAGCAACATGAAGTACCTTCAATCAAGCTACAAAATTCAAATTCTAACAAGTTTCTTTGTTTACCCCGCGAGATCCTTGAAAACATTGCATACATATACATACATATCATTGCATTACAGGTACTTTTACAGGTCACTTATCTTCTTCGCTGTTTATTTCAGCAATCATCATGTCTACTGAACCTTCCACTGAGCAAGCTATCCAGGCCCTCCAGGCCCAGAATGCCCAGTTTCAAGAGTTGGTCATGAGCCTAGCTAAGGGTCAGCAGGACCTGAAGACCTTGATTCTAAAAGAGAGGAAGAAGAAGAAGAAGAAAAGGACTGTCCTGTTCAACACCGAACACAGGTTTGGAAACGGGCTGCAAAATGAAGTTGAGCTAACCACCTCATCTGGAGGGAGAGACAGTCCACAAGAGAGAAGGGTTCCTAGCCCCGTGGTCTCTGACAACGAGATGGATTATGATGAAGAACAGTATCCTCCTGCTGAGGATAGGTACAAACAGTTGGAGGACCGCTTGAGCGCTATGGAGATACAGAACGTGCCCGGGATGGACTTTGGAGACCTAGGTTTATCCTCTGGGGTGGTGATTCCCCATAAGTTTAAGGCACCTACCTTTGCCAAGTATGACGGAGCCTCCTGCCCAAAGCTGCACCTCCGATCGTATGTGAGGAAGATCCAGCCTTACACAGCTGATAAGAATTTGTGGATCCACTTCTTTCAGGACAGTCTGTCAGGGACTCAGCTCGAATGGTTCTATCAGCTGGATGGAGCCAGTATCCGTAACTGGGAGGATTTGGCTAATGCGTTCTATAAGCAGTATCAGTATAATTCCGACCTCACTCCTACGAGTACCCAACTCCAGGGTATGTCAATAGGGACGGATGAAGGATTTAAAGAGTATGCTCAAAAGTGGAGAGACCTTGTCGGAAGGGTGCAACCACCTTTAACTGATCATGAACTTGTCGATATGTTTCTGGGGACCCTGTCTCGTCCATTCTTTAACCATCTGATTGGAAACTCTTCAGCCGGGTTTACAGACCTTATCTTGATTGGGGAGAGAATTGAAGCTGGCATCAAAAATGGGAAGATTCAAGAAGCTACACCTTCTGATGCTCAGAAAAAGCCTTACAGTGGGAAGAAAGAGTCTAATGATGTGTACAGTCAAAAGAGTCGTCGTGACCAACACGTAGGGGCAGTCTTGATCTCTGGTTCTGTGCCACACCGACAACAGCAAAGGGGAAATCAACGAAGGTCGGACGAGCCTAAAAGACAGTTCACCAACATCAACATGCCATTGTCACAAGCATTGCAGCACATGTTGAAGATGAATCTGATTGCGGTGATAAACCCTCCTGCGAACCCTAAGACTTCTTCTCCTAACTATAACCCAGATGCAAGGTGCGCTTATCACTCCGATAGCCCGGGGCACAATACTGACGATTGTTGGGCGCTGAAATACAAGATTCAGAATATGATTGATGCTAAGGAGATCGAATTCGAGCCTCCTGAGACTCCCAATGTGATCACTGCTCCCTTGCCAAAACATGGCTAGGATTGAAAGCACTTTTGTTCATTTGAATTCTGAAGTTGTATTTTTCTTTGCTTATTCAAACAATTATCATGTCAAACTCTTTTATTTCATTAATGCATTACACGTGTCTGTTTTGAATTAATTGTTTTCACTATGCTTAAAATTGCTTCATATTTCCTTTTTGTGATGTTCAAACTCTCGATTAAAAAATTCTAAGCCTTTTGAGGGAGGATGACGAAAACGATACCACGATCCTTAAAGTATGCTTTTGAACAGACCCCGCTGACGATGTACAGACATTGTTTCAAATCCTAAACAGTGGAGTTATAAGGAAGATAATCCCTCGTCAACCCCTTTGAGCCAAAGAAGTTAGAGTTTTTCTTTTCACAAATTAAAACCCTTAATCACAACCCAGGGCAGGGTAGTTTTCTCAGTTGATCCAGGTGCACAATGAATGGCATCAAATAAGTCCTTCCAAAACCAAAATACGGTGATGGTTCTGAATAATCGTAAGGACATGCAGTCATTATCTCTCAGAAATAAAAGCCCATTAAGTCAAAACCTATGAAGGAGACTTACAAAACTGGGGCATCCCGCTGACTGTAATCACAAAAGAAACAGTTCAGGCAAAAGACAGGGATAATAAAATCAAAAAGAAAGAGGTCCTGCAAACTCTTATAAAAATGACTGCCTGTTCAAAATAAATTGTCAACATCCGAACCATCACCGGAATATCAGAGCAAAGACTCAAACAAGATCTAATGCACGATTAGTTGAGTTTAGGATCGAAGAACATCACGAAGAGCGGGGGGTACAAATAAAATTTGAGCCTTTATCCTTTGCTTCTTAAACCGTGAACCAGGCCACGTTATAACCCTTAAAAGTCCTAGCTGAAGCATGGGTTAGTTCGAAAGCATACTGTTACAAAAGGTATCCTGACTCCTGTAGGGCTTGCTGTAAAATCCTGAGTTAACATCACATTTTACAAAAAAAAAATTGTTTTATTGAAAACTGCATTTTCAAAGAACTTCAAAACAGACATAAGATTTGCATTCTTAAAATAACATTGTCTGCATATGGCTATTTGTTCAAACAGCAGAGAAATTCGCACGACGAATATCTAGTGAGCAAAAACCTTCTCAACAAAAAGGATCACATCAAATGGAAAAACACTTCCAATCAAGGGGCACGACATGAGCATTGTCCATCATCTGGGGCAGTTAAGTCAAGATTCAAGGAATCTCTCAGAATGCCAAATAGTCAGGGGCAAATCTCCATCTGAATCAATTAGGGGATTGGACATGAATTCCAGCAACGAATCTTGCATGATCAAACGAAGATCTTCTGGTAATATGGCAACACAACACTACTGACAGTGACAACTCCCTACACTCTGAGAGCGTGGACATATTTAAAAAAGTACTACGCATAATCAAAGACCCGCTAGGTTGACTGGCCTAGGCAAAAATAAGGGCTTCCCGGCGAACCAAAAGAGTTCGGGCAAAAATAAGGGATGAAAATAAAAAAATTTGTACACCCGGCAAGTCGAAAACCTGAAAAGGCGGCTTGGGAAAAAAAGGGTCTCCCGGTGGACTGAAAACCCGAAAGGGCGGTCCAGGCAAAAATTAGGGATCAAAGCGTACGACTATGTCCCGTCATCTCGTCACTTGCCTACCAGAAGAATATTTGTCACTTCAATCAGCAATGACCAAGTGTTGTACCCCAAAATTTGCCCTCCCATTTTCTTCAAGATTTGCCAAGATCAAGGTTCAAAATCTCTCAAGGGTTGCACAGTTCAATGGCCTCCTAACAGTCAAAAATTAGGGTTTTGGTTCTGGCAAAGAAGTTGAAGTGTCCAAGGGTCCAAACAAGTCCCACATGCCTATAAACATGGTCAAGCATCCATATGCTAAGTTTCAAGACTCACAGCACAAAATTGCACAGTCAAAAACCCTAATTGCTCAACAGTCAACTGTAGGGGCAAAATGGTCATTTGACAGTCAAAAGCCCAAATTTTTTGTCAACATCTTATTTTGAAGCCACAAACATCATTTGATCAATTCTTGATCATGATTTTCAAGGTATGGCTCAAAAAGTCTCAAGATGCAAAAGTTTCCATATTTGGACAGTTGAAAAAGTGAACTGTAACTTGACCAAGGCATAACTTCCACATGGTTTATCAGAAAAATTCCATCCAAAGCTAATTTTGAAGAAAATGAAATTTCCTACAACTCCTCTTCACACTCTTCACACTTCAAGTCCAAGAGATGCTCTCACAAAAAGTTATCAATCTCAACATTATAGGTCATTTTCAAAAGTCAACAAAAAGGCACTTTAAGTCAAAGACCATAACTTGAGATCGGTAAATCAAAATGACATGGGACCAAAGGCATTGGTTAGAGGACTTCAAGGCCTTTCCAAAATGTCCAAGAACATGATCAAAGCTTAAACATTGAGCAAGATATGCCTTGTGGAAGTTGGGAAATTTTTGGGAATTTTGAAAAGTCAACTTTGCTTCAAATGCCTCAAAATTGCTAATGGGCCACATTTTCTTCTAAGAATCATCATCCAAGAGCTATGCACGACCATTTGACCCAAAGGGGATTTATTTCATCATTTTTTATTATTTATTTGAATTTTTATCACCATTAATTCATTTAATTAAATAAAATATGACAAAAATACTCAAGCATGCATTTTAAATCTTTTTATGCAGCTAATAGGTCTATCATAACTCCAAGATTTCGTGCACACTCAATTTGGAAAGATTTGGCCATGATTGATATCAAAAGGGCATGGAAAAGATTGAAAAAGATCCATGGAAATCAAATCTCAAAAACATTGAATGCAAAGGTTTTTGGTTGAAATTTCTACCCTAATTCATTCCTCACATAAGTATAAACCCAACCCTAATGCTCAGAACCTAGGAGCTGCGCCTAAAACCAAAGCATAACTTTGCATTTTTTCCAAATTTTCTCAAAACTGAAAGTACAGCTAGAGGGTGTTTAAAGGTCAAAGAACGATTCCAAAGGCTTGCTGGGATAACTAGGAAGCTTTCTCAATCCTTTTCCACTCTTCTAACCTCAGGAATTGGTATATAGAAGTCAAACTTTCTCAAACTTTTTGCATATTCGTGTCTCATGATTCATGTCGTATTTTTGATTTCTAATACTGGATTCATACTAATTTGATCATTTTAAAGCTAACAGTGTTATTCAATTGAGTTTTTAATGCCTGTGCACGAATCCACCATGGGAGCTCTTTAGGGTTGCAGAAATGTGAAATTGGGGACTTTTGCATATGGTAAAATCAGACCATGAGACCAGGACCATTGAATTCGTAGCATTCCAACGAATCTAAAGCACCCATCACGCTCAATTTATCATTGGCCAATTTCTAATCGCTATTTTCATGTTCTTCATTTAGTGGGGGTTTAAAACCCCCGCTATCCATCTGTTTTTTTTCAGGCCAAAGCAAACGAGCGAAGAAGAAGGTGTGTTGTCATCCTGTGGTTGGCTATTTCAAATCCTGGCGCGCATTTTGTTAAACTCCCACTAACCTACATTTTCTCTCTCTTA